AAACTCCGCTCACATACTCTGGTGTTGATGTAAGCAGCAGAAGGGGTGTCAGCTCAAGTTTTGGAGGAAGAAATAGCCTCTTTATTTAACAAAAGAGCAATTTGTGTTGTGCCGCCAGAGGATAGCCATCACAGCTTTTACTCTAGGTACTTTGTCATTTCTAAGAGAGGGGGAGCTCTTTGCCCTATTCTGGATTTGCGGAACCTCAACAAACACCTCAGAAAATGCAAGTTCAGAATGCCCACATTCAATGTGATATCTCACTTTAATTGGGCGAAAGACTGGTTCACGTCACCAGCTGATCTGAAAGGCGCATATTTTCACATAGACGTCTACCCGCCACACAGAAAATTCCTCAGGTTTGCCTATCAGGGCACAGCCTACGAATTCATGACTGTTCCTTTCGGGCTCTAGTGGTTGTTCAGCAAATGTATTGAAACAGCTCTGACACCACTGAGAACAGCAGACCTCAGAATTTTGGCGATTTACTCCTCTATGCTCCGTCGCGGCAGCAAACGAAGATAAACATGAAGATGCTTGTGTCACATTTTGGAGAGTTTAGGCTTCAAGATAAATGAGACAAAAAGTTGTCTAGTGCCCACACAGGAGATGGTCTACCTCGGTCTCAGACTGAACTCAGATCTATATCAAGCGTTTCGGTCAGAAGAGCGCATCAGGTCAATTCGTGGCTGTCTATCCCTTTTCAGAAAGGGAACAAAGTCCCATTCAGACTGTGACATTCCATTGGGGCTTTTGCGAATGAGAGAGTTTCATAACTTGACAATGTGAGTCAGAATAACATCTTTGGAGTTTGTCACTCTTACCTATACTTACCTGGCAGGGGAGAAACCATGATCAAGAAGGTGGTTCATCCAGGGCAAGGCTCGGCCATTGCACTCCGACCGTGCTGACCCTTGCGAATTCCCCAAATGTAGGAATCTCGACTGCATAATTTATGGTAGTGGGGGACTGCGTTCGTTCTCTCCTTGAAAGTTTTTGGGGGCAGTCGTTGGCTAATGGTTAGAGAGTCGGACCTGTAACCTGAAGGTGCACTTGGATGGGTTAAATGCAGAGCACAAATTCCGAGTATGGGTCACCATACTTGGCCACACGTCATGTCCTTTCCTTTCCTTTTTTTTCCTTTCCTTTTTTCCTTTCCTTTCCTTTCCTTTCCTTTCTTTTCAAACCCTGGGAAAAACGTGATCGCAATTCCAACATCCCCGAACCTTCAAACCATCATCGAGACTGCATCCTACGCTTGTTCAATGGCCAAGGTAATGAAAGTATCAAACATTTAACTAAACAAAACAGAGGTGTAGTATAAGCTGTAGACCCCATTGTGAAACGGTACTGATGGTTTCTGCTTAGGTGGCTAACTGACTAATTTTCCATTGCTGCATTCTCTGTTTCTCTCTGGTTTCATTCATCCATTTTAACTCCCCTTTGAATGTATGTGTGTTTGTATGTTTGTTTGTTTAGACTAGTTATGTGTTAATGTTTACCGTTGAACCTCCGTTGAAAAGGAATGGCACTGCAAGCGAGACAACCTCTGTTTGGAGACAGCCTTTCACTTCTGCTGACCTCTAAAACAGAAAAGAGCTTTTCAGAGCTTCTAAAGCTCCACATGTGGTCCACATAAACATGCAAAGTGCGAACAGGACACAGCAACGCCAAGGCTGTGTACCTCCTCCAAGGTCAGCACTTGCAAGTTCACCACCTGATCCTGGAATGGAGTGGTGGAAACTTTGGGCATGTATCCAGGCCAGGGTCTCAGGACAACATGAGAATTAGTCGGTCTGAATTCAAGGCACGTTTTGCTGACCGAAAATGCTTGCACCCTCTTGATGGAGGTGAGTATTGTCAAAAACGCTGTTTTCAGAGACAGAAACCTAAGCTCGACTGACTCCAGTGGCTCAAAGGGAGCTCCCTGTGGTCCAGAAAGGACCAGAGAGATCCCAAGAGGGGACAAGGCACAGCCTAGGAGGATTTAACCTCATCGCACCTCTCAGGAACCTGATGATCCGGTTGTGCTTTCCCATGGACATGCTGTCCACTTCATCATGATGCACTGCAATTGCAGAAACACACACTTCCAAGGTGGAAGGAGACACTCTCTGCTCTAACCCTTCTTGCAGAAAAGAAAGCATAACTCTTATCGGGCATCTCCAGGGACTCCACTTCAAGGCATAAGCCAGCCTGGTAAAGGGGGCTCTGGCCTGAGTGATAATGGCTTTCACTGCCTGTGACAGACCACTTAAGTCCTCCTCATCCTGCAGCTGTGTGCCAGTGCATCCCCTCGGTCAGGGAGTAAAAGAGTGGGCAATAGGAGGACTCGCAGGAGGCAAGCAGGTCTACCCGAGTGTCCCCAAATTGAATTCATATCAACTGGACTGCATGGGGATGTAATCTTCATTCTCATGGGAGCGTGCTCTGTTGTGAAAGCATGTCAGCTGCATGAATGAGCTCTCCCAAACTATGAATGGCACACAGTGACTTGAGCCACACCTGACTCCAGAGGAGGAGATGGTGGGCACTGCCAGCAACTTGAGGCAATTGATATGCCACTGCAGATGAGGTCCTGTCCAGGAGCCCAAGACTGCATGCCTGTTGGACACGGTGCCCCGGGCCCATTCTGGAGGCATCTGCTGTAGTAACAATGTGTCTGAAAACTTGTTCTAAGGGTACTCCTGCCCATCTCATGTGTCATGTGTCAATCTGAGTGGCGTCACTGCGGCTGCCAACCATATACCCCAGGAGCCTCTAAAGCTGTTTCAGTGGAACTGCTGTTTTCCCCCTGAATGAATTTAGGTAGTTCAGCACTGACTGGATGCGCCCATTCGTGAACCGTGCCTTCATGTTGACCCAGTCCAACTCCATACCGAGAAAACAGATACTCTGCACAGGGGAGAGCTTGCGCTTCTCCTAACTGACCCAAAGCCCCAACTGGCTGCGGTGCTGGAGCACCAGATTCCTGTGCTTGCACAACAGATCTTGAAAGTGAGCTAGAATTAGCCAGTCATTGAGATATTTGAGAATACAGATCCCCATTTCCCTTATGGGGCAAAAGCACTCTCCGCAACTTTGGTGAAGACATGGAGAGACAGGGACAGCCCAAAGGGGAGGACTTTGTATTGGTATGCCCGACCCTCGAAAGCAAACCACAGGAACAGTCTGTGTTTAGGCAAGATGGAAGACATGGATGTACATGTCCTTCAGGTTGATCGCTGCAAACCAGTCTAGGGGCCTGTATGCATGTAAGAATGCACTTCTGTATCAACACCTTGTGCAGGGCCCGATTCAAGATTCACAGATCCAGGATTGATTATAACAGGGGTGCCCAAACTCGGTCCTGGAGGGCCGGTGTCCTGTAGAGTTTAGATCCAACCCCAATTAAACACACCTGAACCAGCTAATCAAGCTCTTATAGGCATACTAGAAACTTACCAGCAGGTGTGTTGAGGCAAGTTGGAGCTAAACTTCAATTGCTTAGGAGACATTCTTGTCTACTCCTTCTCTGGTGTCAAAACAATGGCAAACTGATGACAGCACACTCAGGGCGGGTCTAAGGTAAAACGCAAGTGTCAATCAACAATCGTGGGAGGGGCCTGGGTCTATATGACGTCACACAGCCAAGCACAGTTTTAACTCAAATCACTATTGCATGTATGTAATTATTTATTTGGTGAGAAACCATGTAATAAACAGGATGACTACATTTCCCCTTAAATGTTTGTTTGGTTTGAACATTGTCTGCCTTGGCGAAAAGTCAATCTTTTAATCACCCAGTCAGGACTTGTATTGTAATAACAATCGACAGACTGTACATGATCCCATTTATTACATGGCTGCTTGCGTCAGTAGTACAGTCGCTCAGTTGTTATTACAAAGTAATCCTTACATGGTCCTTACTGGTAATCCTTACATGCAGGATCTTGTTTAGCATACTTTTGACAACAGTTTCAGATTTTCTATAGTTCATTCAGAAATTATTCAGACTCCTTCATTTTTTCAGATATTGTTGTGCTGCTGGCGTATGATAAAATGCAGCCCTTTAAATCACCAGTCTACACTCCATACTGCATAATAACAAATAAAAAATTGAAATAGCCTTTGACTAATAATCCATGAAAAACTTTTTTCAGTGTTAGCAGTTAGCAAAACAACTTCCATTTGATTATAATGATTAAGAAAACAATTAAATGTACTTCGAGGGATGAGTATGTATGGCCCTCAAAAGTATGTTATACACAATATACTACACATCTGGAACAGCTTTAGGATTGTAAGGAATTTGGTTACAATCCTAAAGGAGTAGACACTCCCTATTCTCATGAAAATCCAATAGCATAACAGAAATGTAGGAGGAGTGGGGGTTTTGCAAGTGGAGGTTATGTAACTTTTCATTTTAACCATGTATAAAACACCTATTTAGGTTGGCTTTTGGACCAAAACAATCATCAGGAGTGTTAAAGGACTGATTTTTGATGATGTTCTGAGCGTATCAAGCAGATCTTATCTACACTCTTAAAATAAAGGTTCTTTATTGACATCTACGGTTCCATGAAGAACCTTGAACATCCATGAAAACCTTTTCAGCTTCTTTAAAGCTAAAATGTTTTCAGATTATATAAAATGTTCTTCACACTAAGAAAAAGTGAACTTTTACATAAAACTGTGTCCTATTAAACTCTAGTAAAACTGACCTGAGAGCACAGCATACAATTTATCATGCTGAGTCTATAACAGAGTGACAACAGACATTAAATATGCCCCTCCCTTACATCCGTTCACATGGAAATACTTTCTGACTACTAGATCTCTGACAATGAGTCGGTTACAATAAACTCATTTGTTGCTAACCAGAACCACCAGAACTATCTGACCTGTGATCTCATATAACAGAAATATTTATGACCTCACTTCTGTGCACTGTGATGGAAATTTTAAACAAAACAACTTTTTTAAGGATGAAATGACATTTAATAAAAGTTGATGTAGTGAAGTAAAAAAAAATACAGACGAGTATCATGGCAAAATGTTATGTATAAAGGAGAAGTACTTGACAAAAGTATAAAATGTGAGAAAACAAATTGTTACATTTGTATGCCTTATTTATTATGTATGTAATACTCATGTGTAATATATATATATATATATAACATAAATTGAGAAAACTATTAATACATAAATGCAGAAAACCATTACATAAGCCATTTACCAGTTACATTTTCTATGTAAATGTTTAATATAGTAGCTATGTGATTACAGTACTTTGCATTCATAGCACTGAATCGTGAAATACTACACTAATTAAAATGAAGGACATTTTATGATATTATTTGGCATAAACCAGAATTCACATGAACATTTCACTTATATGCAAAATAAAATGAAAAGGACTTAAGAAAAAGGAAATAAAAAAAATAAAAATAAAAAACTTCTGAACATTGAGTAAACCCCAAAAACAAAACATTGTGTGGCTATCATTGCTTATTTGATTTTCAAGCCACAGCTGGTCCTCATCATCTGTAGAGTTGAGCGGTGTAGTTCATAGTTTGCAGTGTTGTTTGAATAGCAAGGACCAAAAAACAAAACAAAACAAAATTCCATCACAAACATATGGTTATGTTGCTTACATGTTTGAGCTTCGAATCACCACCATTACAATCACCATAATTAACCCAATCAGTCCAAACACCAGTGAAGCAATATTCAGGTTCTTTGCTATCCTGGAGGACTCTTGAGCTTTTCCAGCATCTCCAAGTGAATTTGCATTGTCTGCCTACAATAGTAATAATAGTAATAAAAGCACAGAATACATATGCACCGTTTTATTTTCATTTATTTATAAGAGCTGTAAATAAAATTAATTGTAAGTTACTTACTCTGCATGAGTAGATGATTGCTGCAATGCCAAGTGGCAAACAGCAACAAAAAGTGTTGAAGATGGACCAGGCAAGATAAGTTGGCTCATTCCTGCGGGATGTATCCATTTTTCCAAGCTCCATCAATTTTGTTTCCAAACAGGTCAAGCTTCAGGTTCAGATTCAGCACAGGGTGGGACAAGGCACTGGTTTAAATAGGGTGGGCTGCTGTCAGAGAAAGAAGAAAAAAGCCAGGCGAAGGGAGGGGTACCAACGAAATTCTTTGTTTTTCTCATGGCACTTGCATACCATATCAGGTTACTTATCAAGCTGTGCCTATAGTATCCTGAAATGAGTCTGGAAAACTAAAAGTCAGGACTAAAGTTTTCAGCTGATAGTACAAATTTCTATCTTTATATAAAGATAAAGTTCAAACAAAGTTTCATACTAACTCTGAAGACATTTTCACTCTCCCTATACAGAGAGCAACTTAACCGTATAAACAACAGCTTAAATGCGAAGTGGATATTTTAGAAATGCAGCTGTTGTATGCATACCGCACATTTGCTAAACATTATAAAATGACTCTCCATTTTAAAATAGTGCAGCTGTTGTTGTTATTAAGTAGTGGTTTATACAGATATATTGCCAGAGTGAAAATATCTTCAGACTAGTTAGTATGCAATTGAATATGAACAATATATGAATATGTATATTAATACTAACAGCTGAAGACTTAGAGAGGATTTAGTCCTGACTTTTGAGGGTTTGTAACTCATTTTAGGATACTAGGCAGGGGTGTGGTGTGGGTAAAAATGAAAGGGAGGGGGTTAAGGTAAAATGTAAAAACTGTACTGGATGCTTTTTTTCTGAGTCTGCTGAACAGAATGCAAAGAAAATGACCCAAATGAAAATGATTCTATCCATAGGAGCATTTCAGAGTTTTATGAGCAGTTGTTTTTTGCTAAAAAAGTTACATGTAGGATGATTTCCTATCCACATTTCCTTCAGAAAATGCAAAAATATAGTTTTGATATTTTATATATATATAAAATATATATATATATATATATATAAGAAAATGTAAATAAAAAAGTATATTATGCCATAGGCAACTGCCTATAAGGACCTATAGTAGTATGCTAGAGGGGTCTGAGTGTTTTGTTGTTTCACACATATATTTGACTGATGATTGAGGAAGGAAGGAGATGACTTACAAGGGGGATGCAAGCAATTTGTTGTAAGTTACCACCTAAAAAGAGCTGCTTGTAAATGAACAAATATTAAAAAGTCATAAGAATATATCCTGAGGGTAGGGTTAATAATAACCCTACCCTCAGGATATATTCTTATGACTTTTTGAACTGGCATACTTTCAATCGTTTATAAAGAAACCAACTTTTGATCATCATGCTCAAATGAGTTATTTCAAATTATTTATGCTGAAACTTTGCAGAAAAAAACGTTATTCACTTCAGTGGCTGCAACAGATTGCTTGCTTCTGTCTGACTGGCTTTATCTCTGTTTCTAGTCTTTAATGATACCTTTGACACTATACATCAGTGGTTCCTAACTTTTTGTCCTTGAAGTCCCCATCTGATAATGTAAAACTGATGGTAACACTTTATAATAACTTTCATTAATAAATAATTAACCAACATTATATAATGTTTAACTAATCATTACTTAATATATATTCACATATCTAGAAATATGAGATAATGTGCTTGTTAATGTTAACTAATGAACTTATTAAACATTACCAAATGATTAACAGATCATTATTGAATGTAAATTGAAATGCTTACAAATGTCATTAAATTTTCAATTCATATGATCATGGATTCTTTAAAGAAATCTTCAAATGATTTTGACAGATGTTTTACAACGATTTAAAGCTTCATTAATAAATCGTTAACAAACATTATATAATGCTTAACGGATCATTAGTCAATGTTTACAAATGTCATTCAACTTTCAATGCGTTTTAAAAATCTACAAATTTCTTATTTGTTAATGTACTTTTGAATGCTTACAAATGTAATTAAACTTCAGTTCACATATTAGATCATGCTCATTTTTACATTTACAAATGTTGTGAAAATATAGCTTATAGGCACTTCACAAACTATTCATGCTAATGTATTCATTAGCTCATAATCACAGTCTGTAAAGGTAATATATTTGGTCTTTGTTTGTTGTGTTGACCTACTATTTGCACATCTTAAATAATTTATAAATAATTTGTTGAAGTTTTTGCAGTACCCAATCTAAAGTGGAAACTATTCATCAATTGTAAATGTTTATAAACATTTACTAATCATTAGTATCTTTATGAGCAGTCATTTTGATGGCAAAAAGTGTCCCAAATGACCGGAATTCAGCCTATTTTCACATCTTTACAAATCATTTAAATTTTGTTCATGTTTTTGCAGTACCCAATCTAAAGTGGAGACTATTCACCATTTGTAAATGTTTATAAAGGTTTACTAATTTTTTTAGTATCTTTATTGGCACTGGACTTTTAGCTACTTTAACAACGTCTGTGTTAAGGGTGGTTAGTTAAGTTTAGCTAAATGCTTGGTAAAGACATATCACACATTGTAATTTGGGTTTTTATCACCTCAACACTTATATTAGTATACTATTGTGTATCATAGTCATACATCAACAGGAGGGGGAAAATTTTTCAAGAAAATACTTAATTTGTCAAAACAATGCAATATAAACAGATTGAATTGTGTTCCCTTATAGTAATCAAATTGACCCCTGTACACTTGTTGATCCCTTACCCAACCTTAAACCTACCCATACCACCAAACCTGTCCCTAACCTTACCTGTATCACACCTCAACAACAGCAAAGGTGTTGTGCATTAACAAAAGCTTTTAATCATTGTATAACATCTGTTAAAATCATTTGTAGATGTTCAAGATGTGCATGATCATATGAATTAGAAGTTTAATGACTGTAGCAAATTAGCTCAAAAGGAAAATGTATATAAATAATTACAGTTAATTATGATTAATTACAATTATTTATATCAGCTGCCAGTAGTAACTGTAGCAGAATTAAATTGCCATCAACCAATCTGTTCGTCCAGCGAACATTCAGTGTAAGTTCATATCAACTCTAGAAAAGGATATTTCCGTGGCCACAGAAAATACTTTCATACAGTATTAATTAATGCATTAGCGCATGTAGTAAGGATCAAAATCGTAAAGGGATATTAATTTGTAAGGCAGAATCAGTTAAGAAAGAGTTTTATTAACTAAACACTAACACAAACTAGTCTAACAAACAAACAAACAAACAAACAATCACTAATCACTCATAAAGGGCAAATGAGGCTTGATGGATGAAGTCATCAGGAAAAACCAGAGAATGAAGCTATGAGCTATGAAAGTTAACCACTTGAGTGAAACCATCAGCGCCATTTTAGAACAGGGTCTACAGCTTATACTAAACCTCTGTTTCGTTTAGTTAAATGTACGATAATTGCATTGCCTTGGCCTGGAACGAGCGTACGGATGCAGTCTTGGATGAAAGTCTTGATGGTTTGGAGGTTCGGTGGTGTAGGAGTCACGATCACCTTCTTCCGGGTTTGAAGAGGGATGAACTTCAAAAAGATGTTATTCTGACTCTGTGGTGGTCGGGAGAGTTTTCTCCCAAATGGAAAGTGATGAGAGAAGAGCACAGAGCTAGAGAGACATCAGCTGATAGCGAGGATCTTTAGTGAATGGAAAGACAAGGCCACAGCCTGGCACAAACTTATGGGTCGTTGGAAGAATATGGCTCAGC